CCGAGGTGGGCATGTTCGTGGCGGAGGTCCTGCTGCGGCTGGCAGCAAAGAGGCCAAGAACTAAGGGGCTGAGTAAGTAAAGGGTTTAGGGTTTAGGGTTTAGGGTTTAGGGTTTAGGGTAACCTTTAACCTTTTGGGGTTCATATAATCCTACCAGAATTGAAAAGGTTAACCTTTTTTGGGCTAGGGTACTCAGCCCCTAAGTTTAGGGCTTTTAGGGTTTAGGGCCTTAGGGTTTTAGGTTTTTAGGGTTTAGGGCCTTAGGGTTTTAGGTTTTTAGGGTTTAGGGCCTTAGGGCTTTAGGGCTTTAGGGTTTCAGGGGTTTTGGGGTTTAGGGCCTTGGGGTGTTAGGGCTTTAGGTCTTTAGGGTTTAGGGCCTTAGGGTTTTAGGTTTTTAGATTTAGGGTTTAGGGTTTTTATAAACTTCACATAAACCCTAAAACCCCTGACCTATGTCCAATAAAGGGGTCGGATTTTTCAATTTAAACCTCTCCTAAATAATGGGTGGTTGGGTAGTCGTATATATATATATATATATATATGTTTGGTTAATAGCTCTCTATTTAGGTAGCTTGGTTTCGGGTTGAGGTAACTGCCTAAACCTCCCAAAAAGTAGGTAATGGTCCAGCACCTATGAACGGCTATTATTCTACGCACTTTTGGGGCCCAACCCTGAACCGTAAACCTGGAGCCGTACAGAACCTTTATCAAAAAGCTCCGAAGCCCGTGAGTTTGAAAGTAGGCGAGAGGATCTCTGGCGAAGCCCTGGGAAGAGATCCTACGAAGATTTCGGTCGCCGGAGAATCTCAAAGAGTTCCCAGGCAGGGTTGAGGGTTTAGGGTTTAGAGTTGACGGTTTAGGGGTTTGGGTTTTGGGGGTTTAGGGTTATAGGTTGTAGAGTTGACGGTTTAGGGTGGAGGGTTTCGGGTTTGGGGTTGAGGGCCTTCGGGCCTAGAGTTGAGGGTTTGGGTTTGTGGTGTAGGGTTGAGGGTTTGGGGGTTTAGGGGTTTGGGGTTTAGGGGTTTAGGGTTTAGGGGTTTAGGGTTTGGGGTTTTAGGGTTGAGGGTTTGTGGTTTAGAGTTTAGGGTTTCGGGTGTAGAGTCAAGGGTTTGGGGTTTCGGGTTTCGGGTTTGAAGGGTTTAGGGGTTTAGGGTTGATGGTTTGGGGTTCAGAGGTTTGGGGTTTAGGGGTTTAGGGTTTAGGGTTTAGGGTTTAGGCTTTCGTGGTCGTTGTCCTTCACTGGTTTTGGGGCAAAGGCCGCGGCTTGCATCAACACGACTGCTGGTAACATGTTATACGACGACTTTCCGAATGGACACTGCTTCGAAGTCCGTTCGCACCACCCATGGGTTGTGCCTCCAGCACAACACACACCTGGAGAGAGAGTCGTGCTTGAAAGGATGTTGATGAACAGACCATTTCATTTCTATCCCTTGCTTGCTCCCGGCGATGCAGCGCTTCCATCCCGAGCGGCATCATCGCCCATGACTGCTCGTTGCGACCTTTGACATGTTGATTAAATTCGCTATGTCAGCTGGCAGGGAACTGAAGGTACGCCAGCTGGGGCTGGAGCAAGCTTGCTTGACGCATTCTGAGGTTGGCTCGGTCAGCGAAGCCGAACGCATGCGCTGCTCGGCAGCGTTGCAGACCCCAGCCTTAACAAGTTGGGCTTAGGCCCAAGGAGATCGTCTGCTGCTCCAACACCCAGCAACTGAGATACTGCAAGTTAGACCTTGGACCCTACACCCCATGCGGCCCTAGACCCTGGTCACAAACCCCCCCCCAAACCACCTGTTCCGATTCCGTACCCCCAATCCTTGCAACTTCAACTTCGAAGCATACATACCCTTAAAAACCCCAAACCCTGAACCCTAAAGCTTAAAAAAACGCTTAAAGCCCCGGAAAGCAGAAACCCTGAAACTCAAAGCCCCTTAAATCCTTCTCTCACTCGGAGGCCCCTGAAGCCCTCAACTTTAGGCATCTATCCTTCAAAACCCTAGCCCCCTAAAGAATCGAAGCCCTACCTGAAGCCTATACGACCAAGCTCTGAATAGTGTAGGTTCTTTAAGGTATATCACAAAATCACCCCGAGCTCAAAAGCATATCAACCTGAACCACACCCTACACCGTAAAGCCGTTCACTGTAAATCCCTTTCCTGAACCTGAAACCTAAAACCCTAAACCCTAAACCCCAACAGACATTGCAGTCATCAAAAGGGCCATCAAAAACCCAAAACAAACCCTACAGCCCGAAAAAGGCCTGCAGGAGGCCAATGCGTTTGATGAAAAGCGGCTAGGAGATCTGGCCTCCAAGGAGCCGGGCCCTGTGGGAGTCTCTATTTTACCTTACAGAGGGTTTAGGGTTTAGGGTTTAGGGTTTAGGGTTTAGGGTTTAGCGTTTAGGGTTTAGGGTGTGGGAGTCTCCCTTCCCAGAGAACCCAATACCCGTTAATTAAGGAGTATACCTTATATTATAGTAAGACTTAGTAAGATCCCTATTATGATTTAAGGTATATTCCTTAATTAGGGGGTATTGGGTTCTCTGGGTTATTACCTTATTATCTTGAACTATATTATAACCTGTTCTATTATATGCTAGTATATTATAGCCTCCAAGGAGCCGGGAGCCCTGGAGATTTCGGGGTTTGGGCCAGTTTGGGGTTTAGGGTTTAGGGTTTGAGGTGTAGGATTTGGTGCTTGTTGGGGATGAAGGTTTAGAGTTTGAGGGTTAAGGATTTGGGGTTTGGGGTTAAGGATGTAGGATTTAGGGGTTATTGGGGCTTAGATTAGAGTTTGGGGTTTAGGGTTTAGGGTAGCATTCTCTGTCATTACGTTATATTTTTACTGTATTGTACTATATTATACTATACTGTGAAATATTATATTATAATATATGATGCTAGACTGTACTATACTCTCAAGAATTATGTTATACTATGTTATAACTTATTATTCTTTATGGTATAATAATATAACGCTATATCATATTATATCACATTCTGTTACACCGTATCATATTATGTTACGTGTTATACGGTATCATGTTGTGCTATATCCTATGATGCTACGTTATCTTATAAGATGTTATAATACATACTAAAATGTAATTATAGTACATTATAATACACTACACTATGTTGTATTCTTGGGTTTATTGGGGCCTAGGTTTTGGGGTTAAGGATTTGGGGTTTTGGGCTTGGAGTTTGGCGTTAAGGCTTTGGGGTTTGGGTTTAAGGCTTGGGGCTTAACGCTTGTGGTTTCGGGTTTACGGTGTGAGGTTGTGCGATTATGTTTCAATTCTTGAAGTTGTTGAAACCCTAAACCCTGAACCCTAAACCCTAAACCCTAAACCCTAAACCCTTAGGGTGTGTGGCCGAAGGAGCCTCTTCCAAACTCCCGGGTGGGCTTCCGACACCACCGGCTGTATGTGCTGAACTCGCAGCTGAAACAGAGCCAGCTGCTTTGCTCGAAGTCGCAGATGTTTTGGGCTTTGGAGTTTGGGGGTTCAGGATTTAGGGGGTTGGGGGGTTTAGGATTTAGGGGCCTTAAACCTTAAACCCTGAACTCTAACCCGGGGGCTACAGGGCCTGGGAATATTGGAGACTTCGTCCTTTCGGATTGAAATCCCAACTTCCAAGCCATAAGTCTTCCTCCGAACTGAACCCGGTGCTCTCTACATCGTGAATTGGCAGCAAGGATTAATCACTAATATATTTGCTAATATATTTGCCAACTTTTGGCATGTATTCTTCCCCTAAGAACTCTAGACTTTTAAATGGGGCTCCCCTTTGCCCGGGCTGGTAGGGTGCACAAACACCCACAAGCCCAGGATTGTGCAGAATACCAGCCCAGTCGGCTTGTTTCAGGGCAAGGACCCGTTCAGGCTTTTGGGGGGCTTTGGAACAAGGTTTAGGCCCTTGACCCCTGCAGACCTCGAGACCCGAAACCGCCCCCCAAGAAAAAACAACTCCTACAGCTCCCGAGCCCTTCAAGCAGAAACCCCATGGACGTAAAGCTACACCCCTAAACCACTAGAGCCTGAACTCCTAAATTCCGAAAACCCCCTACAGGGTTTTGGACAGGATCTCAGTTCTTCGATTCAGGGTGATACCATCAGTCGTCCATTCGTAACAGGAGCCGTGTGTACTTTACGCCTAAAGTGCACTTTTCTTCAGTCTTACACCCTAAACCCCTAAACCCGAAACCCTAATCCCTAAGCCCGAATCCCTAATCCCTAAGCCCGAATCCTTAAATCCCTAAACCCCGAACCCTGATCCCTAAATCCTCAAAGGCTTTGGGAGATTCATTCAACTACCCGTTGAGTTCGGAAATCTGCAGTCTAAGTAGACCCTAATCCTAATGGGGTTTGGTTTGGGGTTTGGGGTTCAGGCTTGGGTTTATGGTTTGGGGTTTGGGGCTCTGTCCTGAGGGATACTGCAGGCGTCGATGGTTCCGACGGTAGTCTAAACGAGTTCTGCCAGGGGTCTATAAAGGTGCTATAGGCGTTTTGCAAGGGTTCTTGAAGGGGCCCTCGTTGTGCAAGGGTTCTTTAAGCTCCCTGTAGGGGATCCATACGGGTGTTTTTGGGGCTGTACATACGGCTTCTCCCTTAAACCCTAAACCCTAAAACCCACAACCCTAAACCCTAATTTCCCTAAACCCTAAACCCTAAAACCCTAAAACCCTAAAGCCCCAAACCCTAAAACCCCAAAAACCCTAAAAACCACAAAAAGCCCTAAACCTTAAACCGTCAGGGGTCCGAGGATCAATGTTGCGCATAGATATCGAGCAAGTAGGCTACCCTATGCGATCATCGCCTGCTGAGTGCTGACAATGTAACACGGTTCAGGGTTTAGGGTGGAGGGTTTAGGGTTTAGGGTTTAGGGTTTAGAGGTTTAGGGTTTAGAGGTTTAGGGTTTAGGGTTCTCTGGTATTTCGATCCGTCCCTGGTTTGTGACAACCAACCCTCCGAATCAGCTCCAATATGTACACGAGAACGCCGGTGTACGACAAGCAAAGCTTTGGCGTCTTCATGGATTCCGTCGACCAAGTGGGCCGTGATGAGGTAGGCACATGGGCATGGCGCATCATGGCTTGATCCTGATTTGAAGCACGGACACGTATGTATGGACTTGCCAGGACGTGTATCTCATTTTGGATGCTGGCATGCGGAACCGGCTGCGGAGATCCGGAAGGGCTGGAAAGATCGAGGATCTCCCATTGCAGCAGATCCTCCTTGTCCCGGAGCAATCCTGCCATCCTGCCTCGAAGCTCGCAGAGACTATCTCACGTTTTCGGGGTGAGTGGGCTTTTAGGGTTTAGGGTGTTTTAGGGTTTAGGGTTTGGGGTACAGGGTTTTGGGTTTAGGGGTTAGGGGTTTCGGGGTTAGGGGTTTAGGGGTTGAGGCTTTAGGGGTTTCGGGTTAGGGTAAAAAGTTTTTAGGGTAAAAAGGGTTTAGGCTTTAGGGTTCTCCCTGGAGTTGAATTCTCCGAAGAGTTTTGCTTTTTCGGCGCTCCAGGAGACTGGGCCCTGATTGTGGGCAGTCCCGAAAGCAAGGAACTGGACCCTTAAGGAGTATAGTTTGGGTGGCCCCGGGGTGCTTCCGCGCGCCCAAATGCGACCTTAAACCCTAAACCCTAAACCCTAAACCCTAAACCCTAGCCCCTACCTCACATCGAGTCAAGGAGCCGACAAACTGGACTAGCTGCAGAAATTAAACGCCTTGAGGTGTACTGAACACACGACACACGGACCACTAAACTCTGCATGAAGCGTAGCAGCAGGATCCCATCTGGCGGAGGGAGGACGTGAAAGAGCTTCTGACAGCGAGCAAGTGGCGGCAGCAAGGTCGGGACTTTTGGTTCAAAGCTATGAACCATTAACCCCTCATACTAAAGTACATTCAACCCTAAACCGCCTTGCCCGAAATAAAACCCCTAAACCCTCAACCTCTGAACCTTAAACGAAATGAGAACCCCACCATGTGACAAAAGCTCGCAATCGTTCAGGACGCGTCATTCGCACAGGGGAGCGGCCTACGAAGGCCTGCCGGATCCAAAACCTAGACCCTAAATCCTAAACCCTAAACCCTACACCCTAAACCCCACCTTTATACTTACCAAACCCTGAGTCCTCAAGCCCGAATCTTCCTGCTCTCTCTGTTTTGTGGACGCCATGACTGCCTTTTTAGGGTTTAGGGTTTAGGGTTTAGGGTTTAGGGTTTAGGGTTCTGCGCCTGCTCAAACCTAAAGTTGGAAGATCTCAATGTGTCCATGTCGTGGGGTGCTGGAAATTTCGGTGCACGTCTTCAAGCTTCACGGCTTGGCTAGGTAGGTAGATAGGTACATAGGTTCATAGGTACATAGGCAGATAGGTAGATAGGGAGATAAATAGATAGGGGCGTTAGATAGCTGTGTTGTTTGTTGGTTTAGGTGTTTATATCTTTTGTTATTTTGCTACTTGTAGCCGTGTCCTATTTACGAACATAATCAAAGGCTTGAAAGAGCCACCGTTCAGTTTTCTCTGTCTATTTAGATTAATCTTACTTTTAGTTCTGGCTATATATATATATATATGTATATGTGGGCATTCATATTGAGCTAGAGACATATGTATATGTATATGTGTATGTGTATTGCAGATGCGCACATATATTGGTTATATGTGCATATGAAGTTATATATATATATATGCACACACTTACTTTCCTATGCATGCCGATGCTTTATTTGCACATTTAGTGTTTTAGTTGGGTCTTGTCATATTCAACTACCCACCCCTGTTTATGTATATGTACAGACCTAGAGTCGGACGGAACCTAAGGTGGGCACGGGGGAGGGGGAGAGGAGGCCTTATTGACTAAGCCATCATCATCTCCTCTTTAGGCACGCTGGGCCCTAAACCCTAAACCTTAAAGCCTAAAGCCTAAAGCCTAAAGCCTAAAGCCCAAAGTCCCAAAGCCTAAAGCCTAAAGCCTAAAGCCTAAAGCCTAAAGCCTAAACCCTAAGCCGCCCCCTCCTCAACGACTTGTTCCGCTTACCCCCCTCTAGACCCTGAGCCTAAACCATGAATCCTAAACCTTGGGGTTTAGGGTCTAGGGTTTACCCCGAACCCTCAATCCTAAACTCTAAACCCTATAAACCCTAGCGAGGGCCCTTATGCTAAAGAGCGCTTCTGCTTCTCGGGTCCCGTGCAGGTCCTTCGCTCCAACTCCCTCTTCTCCTCGCAGCTGTTCCTGGGTTCTCAAGAACAGAAATAGGGTTGGCTTTGGATTTAGGGGTGAGGGTTTAGGGTTGAGCGTTCAGGGGTTTAGGATTCCTTTGAGAGTCGAGAAACCCATGTAGTTGTTGCGAAAGGGGATACTGTGGAACCAAAGGTTTCAATCCGTTCAGGTTTCATCTCGTTTGCTTTATTCATACAAAAGTCGGCAGGTTGTGATGATGTTACTTGGTGTTCTTCTGGTTGGCTCTTTAGACTTTAACTGTTTGGGTTTCTATATGAACCATAATAAGGAGACTAAAAGTTTAACTTTTTGGAGGGGTTCAGAAGTCAGCCAAGGTTATTTGTGTGTTTCGCTTGTTGTAGAGCCTAAACCCTAGAGGCCCGAGGCCTTAAACATCAAGCTCTAAACCGCCAAGGTTCGGGCTTTGGCAAACGGAGGAGCACTCCGAGAGCTTTGAGGACTTTTGGGTTCAGGGTTTCTTTATGAGGCGTTATTGATGGGCTCTAGATTCTTTCGGATTTGGGGAATTTTAGGGTTTCGGGTTTAGGGCTGTAGATTCTTATAGGATTTAGGGCTATAGTTTTGAGGCTTAGGCTTACGAGTACGTGGTTCAGGGATCTGGGTCTTAGGGTGTAGGTTTTAGGGTTTAGGGTTTAGGGTTTAGGATTACGGGTTTAGGGTTTAGGGTTTAGGTCTTAGGTACTTCTTTGCAAGGGTGCTCTCTTGAATGACAAGTATCCTAAACCCTATTTCCTAAGCCCAATCTTAAGCCCTAAACCCCTAAACCTTAAGGAGTCTGGGTCTTGAGTACTTCTTTACAAGGATGCTCTTTTGACGAGTACTGAAACACGGAGGTTTCTTTGAAGAAAGTTTCACGTGGTATTACAAGGGTTGACAATACAAATCCTCAAGGAGGTTCCTAGAATGGCAGGGTCTCTTCATGCAGGGGTGTTAGGGACCATCCGAAATCCTAGCATTATGGATCAAGGTTTAGGATTCAGGGTTGGGGTTGTAGAGTTTAGGAGTCACTTAGGGTTTAAGCCCAAAGCTTAAGGTTAGTGCTGAGAAGTTCAGGCCAAGGGGCTGTTGGGTTTTCCGCAAGAACGGGTTGGGTGACAGCTCCGAGGCCTTACAGAATATTATAGGATTTAGGGTTTAGGGTTTAAGGTTACAGAATAGTATAGGATTTAGGGTTAAGGGTCTAGGGTTAGTAGGCTGTGCGCACGTCTTACTCCCAGGGTATAGGGTTTAGTTTGGCACATTTGTTTTCGTTTTGAAGTACCCTGGTTGCTCTAGGTAGTCTAGGTTAGAGTTTTCGGGCTTAGGATTGGTTCAGGGTATAACCCTAAACCCGAAACCCCTAA